GGACATTTTCCGTCCCTTGTGCAAACTCAGAGAAGTCCCCATGCATGTGGGGTCTTTGCTGAGTGGGTCACTCTCCTGCACCTTCCAGCTGTACTGCAGGCTCAACCTCCCCCGGAGTAGCGTTGGTCCATCTCCGGGCATGTTGGCCAAGTGCTCATGGATTCCTGGAAATATGGCAAAGTTTATAAGCAAAATGGCCTACGTTGGCTCGGGGGAAAAATGCAGAGCATAGCCATTGGACTCTTGGCTTCAGGTGGATAGACTTTTGGGGGGCTCTGAATACCTTAATCTTATTAGATATTAGTAGACCCTTCAAATGTTTTAGCCCAGCATTTCTCAACTTGGGTGCTACTGAGATTCTGAGCCAGATAATTCTTTGTCGTGTGTTGGCGGGGAATGGGGTATATCCTGTGTATTTTAGGGAGTTTGGAGACATCTCTGGCCTTTATACGCTAGATGCCCGTGACTCCTCATCTGGGTCAGTTCTGATAACCAAACATGTCTCTAGACATTGGCAACTATGCCTGGGGACAAAACTGCCCCTGACTGGGAACGTCTGGGAGTCGCCTCCCTTCCTCTTTATCTGATGGGAAAACTAAGGGGGAGGGAGAACAGGATACCTCCTCAGGACCCACCGTAGCTGGAGGCGACTCTGGAATTAGCCCTGGGGCTCATAGCGAGGCCTGTCTCCACAGTCCCTCCAGTGGACCGTTTTCTGAATTTTGCTTCTTTCTGCCAATGTTCCCACTCTAACCAGTGCCCCTTCCTTCTTCCTTTTGTTCTAACTCATTCTTGGCTCCTCATGCTCTCGAGATCAACCTGGAGCCATTAAGAGATCTACAGGGATGAATTCCGATTCAACAGAAGGGTGCCTCTCAGGCAAGACTCTCAACAGAGGGAGCACGGAGGCTTCGTTCATCATCTAGAGACCCAGATCCTTTGAAATGAACTTTCTTTTTTTTTTTCCTCTATTGACTTTTTAAATTTTATTTTATTTATTTTTAATTAATTAATTAATTATAGCTAGATATACGTGACAGCAGAAGGCATCTGGATCCAACCTACACGATTGCAGCACGACTTTCCATTTCTCTGGTTGTACACGATGCAGTGACTTCGCTCCTTATGTGCCGTCAGCCGTGTGCCTAGGGTCATGACGTCCATCTCATGACCAAGGTCCACCTTGAAAGTAGGCACACTCCATCTCCCTCAGCAGCCCACGGCAGACTCAGAGCCGACTGCCTGGCCTTGCTCTATTTCTATGGGACTCAAAGCATTAAGCTGCAGGACCCTCTGAGGGTGGCAGGTGCCGGCCAAGGAGGCTCAGGACTTTGCCAGGTCACCCTTGCTATTTGCTGATGAATTGAAATATCAGCATTTTTCTTGGAAACGGTGGTAAAAACCCAGCAGCTCGGCTGGCTCTTCTGTAGAAGGTGTGAATGTTCTTCTGTGAACGGGGCTTAGCGTGGGGCCTCTCTGAATGCTCTCACATGTTGGGTATCAAGAATTCGAAGGGAAGTGGTTTTGTGGGTGTTTTTTTTTTTTTCTTTTCTTTTCCTTTTAACATTTGAGTTTGGAGTTTGCTGTTTTGAAATCTGGTTGCCTCTCGAGATCTTCTGGATGAAAGGTCCTAGGTCCTGAACCATTTGAAGCCGTGTGAGTCGTGAGTCCATGCTGGTGACCAGTCCACGCTGGTGACTCTGATCAAGGTGTGAAGTGAGTCATGAAAGGTCGTGAAACTCCCCAGAGGGTTACGTCCGTCCGGTGGGAGGACACAGCGCCACAAACTTTCAGAGCTGATTGTGTCTGGAGCACAGCGGTGCTTGCCCTTGGCTGGGGGAAAGGTTATGAATTGCTCCACAGGCCTCTGGAGTTGCAGATGGTGCTTCTGGCAGAAGAGGAACTCGGGGAGTTGCACGCTGAGACCAGGCAATGCTCACACCTGGCTCCTCCTCGTGGGCACTCTGGGCCACTGGCTTCTCTTTGGGGATCCAATAAAGACACTTTGGGCAGCATTGAGGGGGCACGTTCTGGGCTGTTCCTGTGAAGGGGCAGGACCCAGTTTCAAGGTCAGAGGGAACCAGGCGAGGCCTCTATGCTGATCAGGTAAAAAGGTGTCTTGCCTTTCCCCACCCAGTGAGTGGCTTGGGGGTAGGCTGAGGGGCCTTGCAAACCTGGACCCTCTGCAAGCAGGAGGGCTCCTTCCCGTGTCTCATCTCTCTTTCGCAGGTAAAGGCAGCTTGGCAGGTGCTCCGCCTGCCACCTGGTTATCCAGGAACACGCCCCAGTTTTCCTCTGTGGGAAGACCAAAGGCCCACGTGGAAGAGGAGTGGAAATAGTGAATCCCAAGTTTTTAGAAAAGCAAATCATTTCAGATTCCTGTTACTTAAGCATCCCACAGGCTTCTTGAAATCGGAGGACCCTGTAGGAGCAGGAAGTGACGGAGGGGACTTTGAGGATGAGTTTTAGTTCTGTCCCCAACACCAATGCCACAAAGGAATACCATGGTGTGTGATTGTATTGGTTTGTATAACAGCTTCATCTTAAGAGTTCTAGGCGTATGTTTTTTATTCGCAAAATCGTGTGCTCACCCAATGGGATTTTATTTGTAATGTCTCAGTTCAAAGCAAAAGCAAAAGCAAAGGTCTCCAATAAACACCTATAATATGCAGATGTGTGTGATCTGAAACATTCTTTTACCCTTCAAAAATAAGTCAGGTCTTCAGAAATAATCAACACAATTTTTGATTCTCCTAATAACAGAGGTAGATATTATTTTAAGATAGTTGTCAGATACTAATATTAATTGGTCATTTTTAAATCTAGGGTAAGGACATTGAGAATGATGCCCACAAAGCCAAAGCCTTTGAGAAATCAGATTAGATGATCACCTAAATGATAAAGCGTTGATTGTGCAGTGATTGTCCCCTCCCCCGCCACAACACGGAGACAGAGCTCCTTCCCCATCTGCTTGCCTCAGTCAGAAATTATAACATTAGGAATACATTCACTTGGCTTATAGCATGCAACTTTCTTTTTAAAAAGCAGATAATCTTAGAAAAGCAAACTAAGTCATCATTAGTCACTTATATTATAGAAGTAACCATCATATCCACCAGGCATGGTATTGTTGGCCATGTCTGGAAATGGGTTAAAAAAAAATGTATGTTAGCAGACTAGCCTAGTTAGCAGAGGATGCCCATTGAGCAGCTCCCAGAGTGCCGCTTCCTCCTGGCAGATCTCTACCCAGCAGGAAAATAATGTCCTGGGATAGAAGGAATTGAGGAGGCCGGAGAGTGAGGTGGTTGAAATACAGGTGTTCAGAACCAAGTGGATTTCGCCATTGGGTTTCGTATCCAGACTCTGCTTTGGGAAAATGACCCAATTGTTCTGAGTCTCGATTTACCCAAATGTTTGTGATATTCATTTCCAACAGTGTCGTGAAGATCCAGAGAGGCATGGATGCGACACAGCCACAGAGTAAGTGTTCACTGAAGAATGAGGATCAGAAAGACGAGGATGAAGGAGATAATGGTGACTCACCCCACTCACTGCCACCCCAGTTCTGGGCATTGAGTGAATGGGCCTGGGCTTCGGGTCAACAGGAGGGGTAGAGGTTTATGGTGGGTCCTACCTAACTTGAGGACTCTTGCAATCTGGGGATAGGGACAGACTTGAAAAGCAAGAGGAAGGACATAGACAGTTCATTAGCCACAGAACACAAATTATTCCTTTTTTCTGGGAGTGGGTTTTTGCACCTGTGGTCAGACATTCTCAGTGCTGAAATGTTGTGTGGTAGTGTGTGTGTGTGTGTGTGGTGTGTGTGTGTGATGTGTGTGTTGCAAAAGAGTTCTTCCTGGGGTTGGCGCCCCTGTAGTTTCCCAAATGTGATCACGCCTTGGTTAGCTCCCTGTGGGGCCAAAGCATGAAATGTTATGAATTATTTTTTAATTACTCTAAAAACGAAACCATTTTGAAAAGTAAGCTCAGATGTGGCGTGCCATTTGTGATGGCTTCTTAGCAGTTTTCTTTTTGGCAGGACTGGGGATGGCTGGACTCCCAGAACGCTCGAGCGGTGATGATTTGTAATAATGATCATCGCGATAGAAGTTTCCATCTGTGTGCATTTTTTCAGTTTACCCAGCATTTGCACATTCAGTGTCTTGGTTGGTTCGTAGAAAAACTCTGTAACCCAAGCCAAGTAAGAGAAGTTCTTTTCCCCATTTTATAGGTAGCCAAACTGAGTTATTAAGCCTCCTAACGCTTATTAACTTTCTCAGTGGCCCTTTGCAGAGCCAAGACTAAAACCCACGTCTGCATCCTCTGGTTATGGTAAAAATGAGCAATAGCAATAAAACAATACGACTTAAAATAATTGTTATCTTCCCAAATTTCTCTCGGTTTTCATTAGCACGTATGCACAGACATATATTGAACCCTTTTATTTGCAATATGTCATATAAGGCATTAGAAGTACAAAGATAAGCTTCACATAATTATTGCTCTCCAGGGGCAATAAAGTGGCATTCTCTCTTTTGCAAACGATACCTAGTTTATAAGTTTAATTTTTCTGATTAAAAATTGAGGCACGCAACCTGGCGAGTCTAGTGGCCTTGAGGAGAACCACCAGACTTGGGTGGTGGAAAATGCAGGATACATGGTTGCCACTGATAAACTTGGACCTCATCGTCTCTGCTTCTCTTTGTTCTTGCTCCACTCAAATCTCCAAACCAGTCAAGTCTGTGCAGTGAAAGATCACACTGGCCCAGGGGCCAGGCTCGAAGACTAGCCCACAATCACTGGTAATCGTAACTGTTGCCACATGTTAGGTTTTTTGTCTTATGCTGA